TTATATTACTTGTTGATATTGTACCTTTAAGGTCTCTGATATTTTTAGAGGATGGAGGGAATATATTGCTTCATGTCTTACATGAATTTCTAAATACTGAAATAAGGGTGGTGAATTGTTAGACATTAGGGTTTTGGATTTTGCCTTGCTGTCTTTTACTTTCTTGTTTTTTTTGTCCAACTAATTTTTCACAAACAAATTGCCATCTTTGCAGAAAATTATTCTTGCAATTGTGGAATTTTGTAATTACTTGTGACTTTGTGATGTTAGATATATTATCTAAAAATGCAAAGTAATGGTGTATCATACATTCATACAGTAGTCATTACTTGTGTTCTCTTATGAAAAAATTCGTGACCATATTTGAATAGAATCACAGCACTGATCATACTTAAATAAATTCATCTTTGATACTACAGGGAATCTATGTTGTGTTATTATGTCTATGCTTTCATGGCAGTAATTCAGTTATTCAGTGCCTTAGCAGTTGTGGTCTCCATGATATAGCCATGTGACTATTAGCGAATGTAGTAGTTATCAGTATGATATGCTATTATGCTATGCCCTAAGATTAAACAACTTTGTTTTCACGTGCAGGTGGGTTATTCCATACGATTTGAAGATTGCACATCTGAGAAGACGATTCTTAAGTATATGACAGATGGTATGCTGCTTCGTGAATTTCTTGGTGAGCCTGACCTTGCTAGCTACAGGTGACTTGCTAGTTCCAGACTTGTTTAACTCTATACTTCTATTCAAATTATATGCCTAGACATTTTCTGATTTGTTATTTTCTCCAGTGTTATCATGGTGGATGAGGCACATGAGAGGACACTTTCTACGGACATATTATTTGGATTGGTCAAGGTAGGTGCAATCTCTCGTTAATCCAATCCCAGATGTTCCTCTTAAATTAAGTGACGATGACCTGCCTGGTAAATGATGGGGTTGTAGTGCTTTGTAAAGATTCCAAATGTCTTATCTTAGCTAGTCAAGAGGGAAATATTTGGATATTTAGCACTATGTGTTTTTCTGGCAGTGAATTTTGTTTGTTTTGTGATCATTCCCAATTTATCTTGCTATATACTCAGAAAAGTGCTCCCATGTAATAGGATGTTGCTCGCTTTCGGCCAGATTTGAAGTTACTCATCTCAAGTGCAACTCTTGATGCCGAGAAGTTTAGTGACTATTTTGATTCTGCTCCAATATTCAAAATTCCAGGGAGGCGTTACCCTGTCGAAATACACTATACAAAGGCACCCGAAGCTGATTATTTGGATGCAGCCATTGTTACTGCGTTGCAGATACATGTCACAGAATCACCTGGTGATATTCTTATATTTTTGACTGGACAAGAAGAAATTGAAGCAGCAGAGGAAATACTGAAGCATAGGACTAGGGGCCTTGGTACAAAGATTGCTGAACTTATTATATGCCCCATTTATGCCAACCTTCCAACAGATCTGCAGGCAAAGATATTTGAACCAACTCCTGAAGGGGCACGTAAGGTTGTGTTGGCCACAAATATAGCAGAGACTTCTCTGACAATTGATGGGATTAAATATGTTATAGATCCAGGATTCGTCAAGATGAAGTCGTATAATCCACGAACGGGGATGGAGTCATTGCTGGTGACACCCATCTCCAAGGCATCGGCAAATCAACGTGCAGGTCGATCTGGACGAACAGGGCCGGGAAAGTGCTATAGATTATACACTGCTTACAATTACTACCAAGATTTAGAGGATAATACTGTCCCTGAAGTTCAGCGAACAAATCTTGCAAATGTTGTGCTTTCCCTTAAAAGTCTTGGAATTCATGACTTGTTGAACTTTGATTTCATGGACCCACCACCGTCTGAAGCATTATTGAAAGCTCTTGAGTTGCTCTATGCACTTGGTGCCCTAAATAAGCTAGGTGAGCTGACTAAAGTTGGTAGAAGGATGGCGGAATTTCCCCTTGATCCCATGTTATCAAAGATGATTGTTGCTTCTGAGAAGCATAAATGTTCAGAGGAGATCATTACCATTGCAGCAATGCTTTCTATTGGGAACTCGATATTTTACCGCCCCAAGGACAAACAAGTCCATGCAGACACTGCAAGGATGAGATTCCATGAGGGGAATGTTGGAGACCATATTGCACTTCTCAAGGTATTAGAGCTACTCTATGTTTAGATTGTTTTTTCTAAAATTGCTAAAGGAAAGAGCACACTGGTGTGGTAAAAGGCATTCATATTATTCTTTGACACTTTTTTTCATCGAGAGCGTTATGTTTTCTCTAATGCTAGGACATTAGACACAGTAGTGTCTAAGAACTTCCTTCTCTTTCAATTATGATATGCTTGGATTTATGCCGAGCATGATTATTGTGGAGATCAATTTTTATTTCTGTGAATGTTTTGCTGAATTTTCTGCTATCTCTGTGTTATATTTGTTGATTTTTGTGCTAAATTTTTGTCCTCTTTCCCTAGATCTACAATGACTGGAAAGCATGCGATTATGGAAGCATGTGGTGCTTTGAGAATTATGTTCAGGTATAGTTACAACCTTTTATTTTCATTTTCATTTGATCTAGTAAGGAATAGTTCTAACTGCTCTAGTTAAAGATTTGTAGCATTTCTTTTTCTATAGTATGGTGCCTATGTTAGTGCTGTCTATTATAGTTATCTGATTCATGCTCTCCAGTAAATATTAAATTCTGGATCCTTTTGTTTAGGTCAGGAGTATGAAAAGAGCAAGGGATATTAGAGATCAACTTGAGGGACTCCTGGAAAGGGTCGAAATTGAAGCCACGACGAGTCTAAATGATTTGGAAGCTATAAAAAAGTCCATCACTGCAGGTTCTTATGCAAAGCCCTTTATTCAGATTTTTGATAACATATGCTATCTGTGAGACTGTAAGATAAAGTAGTAACTGCAACTTTACATTAACTGCTTCAGGATTCTTTCCTCATACGGGAAGGTTACAGAAAAATGGATCTTATAGGACAATCAAGCATCCTCAAACTGTGTACCTTCATCCCAGTTCAGGTTTAGCACAGGTAAGCTGTGTAAAGTTTTCAGTTGCTTGGATTCTGTTATTAACGTCAAAGCAAAATCTATCAGATGCATTTTCATTTAATATTCTGTATGTCATGCATTTATCTGATATGAAATTTTCAATGCACGCGTAAAGTATTGGTACGACAGTGATGAAATTAATTTTAATTTTATCCTGAGGCGGGGCTTTTAAGATGGCTTTGTGGCAATTAGAAAAGAAAAGTTAACATTTGTGGTGAGCATGGGCGGGCAGTGGAACTTTGGAGTGGTTTCTGGTTTGATAAGTGGCTTCAATTTGTCCTGTTTATTTGAAATTTTTGTGTTGGTGGTTCGAATTATAATCAGCTACAGTACTGCAGTTTTTTTTATTAAGGTTATCATCCCTTTGTCGAGGGCCATTGGATGGATTGATCATAGTCATCTTGAATGGCTGTGCAAAAAATTCTCATTTAAAAATTTCTCGAACAAGATCCTGATGGTTGGTTGTCACTTCTTTTACTGAATCTTCTATTATCGACTTATAGCTATGTACTTGATTACATGATTTGGCCAAGTTGAAGATAACACATTTACACATATACCCTTCTAAATCATAAACTTATCCTTGCCCTTCTCCCCAATCTCTCTCTTTCCCAAGCCAAAAAAAAAAGGGCAAGGGGGTGGGGGTTGCAATATACTTTTCTCTAAGTTTGTCGTTTTGGGTTTGGTTATTTACATGCATTTCTGGTAATGCCTAATACTGCAAAATATATGCTTTCTGCTTGTGTGTGTTTGTTTTCTTTTCTGTTGCATTCCCTGTTCCTCTGCCCGCCTTGTGCTCCGACTCCTTGGTTACCTAAGTTTGTTAATATATGTAGGTTTTTTATATTGTTTTTGGAACTGAACAGTTGTTTTCTTTACGAGCAGATGGAGCCGCAACCAAGATGGGTAGTATACCACGAACTGGTTCTGACAACGAAGGAATATATGAGACAGGTAACTTTTCATCCTTCTTCCTGCTGCTCCCATTTGACTATTTGAGTATTACATTTTGAATGGGCATAAATATTCTTGTGCTAGCTTTCTTTTTCTTTCGAAAATATATTTTTGTACATTGTTGAGTTGTTGACTCTTGATTCTATTTGCAGGTAACTGAGCTAAAACCGGATTGGCTAATTGAGATAGCTCCTCATTATTACCAGATGAAGGATGTCGAAGATGGTATATGCTCTCAATCACCCTCTTCAATTTTTCATACCTTCTGAATTTTTTTTCATCGATACTGTTTTATACTTTCTATGTTTCAATTAGATCTTGTTTCTGAAGTTGATAGAATGAGCTGCTAATTTGAAATATAATTTCTTCGCAGCTAGCACAAAGAAAATGCCAAAGGGTAAGGGTCATTCGGCTGCTACTCAGGGGAAATCTTGAAGAGATAGTAAAGTTTAGAGTATTTTTGCCAGAAGAATTAACCGGGTTCGTTTGGTCCCTTTTCTTAGTTAGAAATCCTATGTTTCATGTCCGATTCTTAACAGCGTAGATTTGTACTGTAAAAATGTATATATAACCTCTGCAATTCCGCATACTTCTGTTGTTGAGGTCAAGTCCAATTTTGTAATTTTTTTCTACATCACTTATGTCCACCTTTTATAAATTATGTAGATTAATGTAACCATAAATGAGCCGTAGCATACTAACATACGTAGGTGTAAACCCTTTAGGGACAAATTTTAATCGTTGTATTCAATGTGTTTGATTTTAAGGGGTTTCGGAATTTGTATGTTTCCCAGTTTGTTTCTCTTTTGTTTTTTACAAGGCACTTTGTTTTCTCTGTGTAAGATATGGTGAAGTTTAGAGTTTTAGATGATTAATCAGCAAGTCGAAAATCGACCAAAAGTGGATCGAAATAATATAGAGGTATAAAAAATAATCCAGAGGGAATGTGATTTTATTAGTACATACTACAAGAGCTAGCTATTTCAAAACTGAGCTTGGGTACATATGTATTGCACTATTGCCGTCACAAGCTCTACTGTCAACTTCCTTAAAAATTAACATACATCTTAGCTCTACTGTCAACTTTCTTAAAAATTAACATACATATTAGACCTTGCAAACGTAGTCACTGCAATCGGTGGCAACAACCCCGTATCTGCCCTCTTCGCCACCATTGCTAGCCGTTGTAGGTGGCTCTTTTTAACTTAAAAGAGTCAAAGACAAGTGAAGCTTATACAAGTAAATTTTACATGCAATAAAACTGACTGTAATCTAGGATAACATTTTTCACACATATAAACATTTCTTACTATAATAACATAAATAGAAGAGACATTCCTCCAAAATGGACAAAACACTAACTACAAATCCGTGTCTTCCTTCCCTCCATCTACGACCATTGCAACAAACTTCTTATTTAGAGCTCATCGTCCTCATCATCGTTATCAACAATATTACGAGTCGAGGTCATATCTTGAGCAATCTCCTTAGCATTACGCAAAGTATCACCAGCCTTCTTCTTTGCAGCATCATACCCTTCCTTGGCCTTCTCCTTCATCCAACTCGAATGCTCCTCCGCGGCTTCCTTCGCATCTTGGGCCTTTTCCTTGGCATCTTGAGCCTTTCGAGCCGTTGCCTCCTTTGCCTTATCAACCTCCTGGCCCATTGTCTCCTTAGCCTCTTGAGCTTTACGGCCTACTGTTTCCGATTGTTGCTGAACCTGATCTTTGACGTTCGAGGCCTTGTTAGAGGCCTCGTTGACGTATTGCTGAGCCTTGTCCTTCACTACTTCGGCCTGCTCAGTGGCTGCATCTTTCGACGATGCAGCCTTGTTTGCGGCATCTCTAGTAGCTTCGGATGTTTTATCTTCAGCTTGTCGTGCCTTTTCGTTTGCTTTGTCAGAGGCTTCATTTGCCTTTTCATATGTCTTCTCTTTGGCTACGTTTGCTGCCCATATCATAAAATTATAATCTTGCACTTTACTCAATCAATATTGCACATTTGTACTTCATTTAGAATCATTCTATTGTTAAAAATCTATATATGCTTGATTTATGATCTTCTATAATGTTTTATGGAATTCAACAAATCGATTTAATACAAATTAACAAGCTTTAAACATATAAGCAAAACAATCTATTAAGAAATAACTAATAAGGTGTACGATGTATCATGTTGTCTCGTATTGTTCCAATATCTCATAATTATAATATGCATATAACATGAATTTATATAGTTGGGTTTTACTTGTAATTTCCTTCCAACTAATTTAAGTGACAACATATCTATTAATAAATAAAATAAAATCATAAATAATAATTCCATATTACCATCATAATTTTCTAGAACTATTAAAAGAATTAACCCGATCGAACAAGGGAACAAAAAGCCACCTTAACACAAAATAGCATGCATCCATGCATAATCCAAACATAATTTGTTTTCCAAATATGATTGTAATAGGGTAAGCTACTTTGTGCACGTGTTGACACTTTTGATAATGGTGTTGTTAGTCTTGTTACGTATACCCTTTGAGGTTGATTGTGTAGATATCAAACAGTTTAGTTGATCAAAGTCCTGAAATGTAACTCAAGGTCTAGATCGAATCTTATCTACATCATAGCGTACATTACCTAAAAAAAAAACTTCGATTGATAAATATTACCTGCATCACCAACATTTTGTTGCTTCAATCCAAGCCCCTCTTGGATCTTCTCCTTAGCCCAACCCGTCCACGATTCACCACCCTCTTTGATCTCCTCCTCGGTGGCTTCGTGTGCGTACGACACGGAGACGTTGCACGACACCACTACAGCCACCACAACCACCAACGACATCAACTTCATCCCGGAGCGTCGTCGTGCCATCATTAGCTAATCACGTATGGTACGCCAGATAATCAAATACCAACAACTATGATGATTGATTAATTCAAAGTAGTAATCCTTATTTTTATTGGATACAAAGTTGTGAACATATAAGAATAGTTTTGGAATACATGTAAATTGAAGTTGAAGATCCTTGAAGAATAATATAGAAGATTAGAAGGAAAAGAAATTAGGCACTTTAAATTTAGAATGTGGTGGAGCGAGGGAATGGTTCTAAATTACACGTGTAGTAACGGGTGTTAGTTTCATTTTCCAAGTGTTGAGAAAAGAGTGTTGCATGTGTTTCTGATTTTGTGTTCGATTTGCCACTAAACCTGGGCACCGTGCCGGGCCGGGCCGCCGCGGGCCGTGTCTGTCGGGCCACGGGCTGGTTCGTGCCGTGCCGGTCGTGCCTGCGGGCCCAGGTTTTCGTGTCGTGCCGTGCCGGCCATTTTCACAGGCCAGCCCACGGCACGGCACGGCCCTCGTGCCTGGCGGGCTCGTGCCGTGCCGGCCACGTGCCGGCCTGCGGGCTGGCAGCGGGCTGGTGCAGTTTTCAATTTTTTTTTTTTTTTTTTTTTTTTTTTTTATTTTTTATGACAACATTATAAATTAATAAGTTTATAATGTATATAAGTTATAAAATTATAATTATAAGTTTTATAAGGTTATAACTTATAAGTTTATAACTTATAAGTTATTAAGTTATGAATTTTATAATTATAAGTTGAATATTTATGTTTTATAATTTGTATATTCAATATTTATATTTATATATTTACTTTATACTATTACTTTAAAATTTAATGTTTATGATTTATTAGTAATTGGTATAATTTTTTTTTTTTTTTAATATGAATTTACAAATTGTAACAAAACGGGAAAAAAAGGCAAATTGGACTTTGGATGTGAAAAATGCGTACTTTATATTATTATTACTTGAGTTGAGAAAATTGTACAATGATAAAAATCATACAATGATGGTATTAAACAAAAATTGGAAAATGATAAAATTGATATTTTTAAAATCGTACAATATACAATAATTGTCTATTCTTCTTCTCCTTCTTCTTGCTCGTCTTCGTCTTCGTCTTCGTCTTCGCCTTCGCCTTCAAGGTCATCGGCTAGTTGCATAGATTGGGAACTAGCCGAACCCGAACCGGAAGCGGAGGTTCCGTCTTCGTTGTCGTTGTGGTCGTAAGAACGGTCTTGTGAGCGATTTTCCGCATCCAACCAATCTTTGAAACACACGCACATTTCTAGTGTTTCGGGTTTTTGACTTGTTCTTCTATCGTCTAAAACCCTTCCGGATGCGCTGAAAGCTCGTTCGGAGGCGACGGAGGAAACTTGGATAGCAAGAATGTCTCGTGCCATTGCCGCCAAAGTTGGATGCTTCGAGCTTTGTTGTTTCCACCATGCAAGGAGGTCGAGGCTGTTTATCTCATCGTCGTCCATGCCTTTGGTGAAGTCGTAACTCAGGTACATCTGCAACTCCGAGACGTCGCTTTGCGTTCTCCTGATTGATGAATCACCTAAAAACCTTGAAATCAAGTTAGTAGCTTGTGAAAATAAATGTTTGGCCTTCTTACTTACGTTTTTGGATGGTTGGGAAGGCCCTGAGCGAGGAACGGTGCCATATTTGGCTTCATAGACTCTATATAAAGCAAAAAACTGATCTTTCACATTTGTCTTATAGTTTTCTACATCATCGTCAAGAAACATGCATTGAAAGTAAATGTCAACTAACATAAATGTGTTTTCATACTTTTGCCTAGGATCTAATATGGAAGCAAAAATATAAATCAAAGGAATCTCACTATAATATTTACGCCACTTTTTTTCCATTGCTGGAAGATACTGATCATAATCACTTTGATCGCGATGATCAGCGAAAAGTTGGGCGAGTAAGCATGCATTAGAAAGAAAGTTTTGAGCACAAGGATTGTAAACAGTAGAAAAACAATACGTCATGTTATATAATAACTGTAAAAATTGCATATATCTTTCACAGTTTTTCCAATCATCATCATACAAAGCATTTTGTGGAAATTTTTGGTTGTAAAATAATGTTAACGGGCCCTTGTACTCAATTGCCTTTGTTAACATGTCATAGGTGGAATTCCACCTAGTTGGGCAATCGGTTTTAATTTTTATTACCCTTATCTTTTGTTGTTTTAGAAAACTCTTCCATTCTTGGTATCTCATGTTAGAGCTATTAATAGACATAATAGCATCTCTGATTTTGCTGTAGTATGGGCCAATTGCCCGAATTCCATCCTGTACACATAAGTTAAGTACATGGCAAACACATCTAGTATGAAGAGCTTCACCGTCTAATAGTACATCGGTTAAGTTTTGTTTGATAAGATTAGCTGTGTATGTCATAGAGGTTGCATTATCAAAAGTCATAGACATCATTTTATCTCGAAGGTTGTATTCGTCTATTGCTTGCATTAAATGGTGAGCAATGTTAATGCCGGTGTGTGGGTATTCCAGCATTTTGAAATGTATTATTCTTTTTGTAACATCCATTGATCATCTACCCAATGGCAAGTCACACATAAATAGTGATATTTATAACCACTATCCCAAGAATCGGCTGTTAAAGATACTCTACAGTTAAGGTTACTCAATTCGGCTTGTAACCGGACTTTGTACTCTAGGAAATTTTTCATTGCGGCGGAACGAACGGTTTTCCTAGAGATTCTTTTATGTTGGGGTTGTAGTGCTTTGTTAATGTAGGTGTTGAATGCGTCACTTTCCGAGAAAAGAAAAGGTTGTTCGGCGTGTACTATCATTTTTCCTAGTTCATCCCTATCCCTCTCATAGTTGTATGTAAAGCCGTATGGATGGAATTGGGAAATTTTGGGCTGGGTTGGATCACTAGCTGGTTTTGCACAAGCTTTCATGTGTCTAGATAAGTGTCCCGTCCCGTTTTTGGTAACTGCCGTGAATACACTATTACATGTTTTACATTTTGCCCATTGTTCACCATCTTTACTTAGGACAAAATAACGCCATACCTCACTCCTTCGGTTTTTCAAAAGTAGCATCTCAGTTTCGGTTAACCATTCATGATGTGTGTGATGGTTAGTAGTGGGACTAGTGGGAGTGGCAGTAGAACCGGAGGGAATTCGGGTACTTTCTTGGCTACCTTGGCTAGAACAATAGTTTTGTTGATCACCGATATAATTAGGTGGAAATTGGTATGGTGGTAGTGGAAATTGGTTTAGTGGTGGTGCTGGAAATCCCGACGTATTATATGGCTCATAGCCCGAGGGGAAGTAAATGGGGTCATTGGTTTGACTCGTAATTTGGGGGCTCGTTGTATTTGGTGGTTCCCTAGAACTACTACTACGGATAAGTCGGCCTTTCCCCCTAGACCTAGATGATGGGTTGTTCGATGCCATAATTAACAATTAATTTTTTAATAAAAAGTGGTTAACTATAATAATAATAATTAATAACAACAATTTTAACAATAAAAATATCAATAATAATAATTAATAACAACAACTATAACAATAACAATAACAACAAAAATAAATAATAACAACAATTGTAACAATAATAATAATTAATAACAACAATTATAACAACAACAATAACAATTAACAACAATAATAATTAAACAAGATTATTCTAATAATAACAATAAAACAATAATAAATTAAGATTAGTTTAGATCTTACAACCGTGCTTCAACGCTCCACTAATTACGATTACGAACTTTTTAATTTTTTCCGATATTAGGAAAATAATTAGAGAATTTAAGAGAATAATTAGAGAATTTAAGAAAATAAGGATTATTAGAGATTTAGAGAATATAAGAGATAAGAAGAAGAGATTGTGATTTTGTGATTTGGGAATGAAATGGAGGTGAGTATTTATAGAATTTTTGGCAAAAAACTAGCCGTTTTATAGCCGTTTATAGCCGTTGGCCCGCGGGCCGTGCCTGCGGGCCAGCACGGCGGGCCATGCCCGTGCTCGTGCCGGGCCGTGCCTGGGAATTCTCAACCGTGTCCGTGGCACGGCCCGTGGCACGGAAGTTGAACTTCGTGCCGTGCCGTGCTTGACTTCGGGCCGTGTCGGGCTGCGCCGAACGGCGGGCCGTGCCGGGCGGCACGCGGGCCAACCCGGCCCGTGCCCAGGTTTATTTGCCACCTATGTTTTCCTTTCTTGTGGGTGAATGATGAGAGACCGCCTAAAACTCCCTTTTTGAAATCGTTTTCCAACTCCCTACGTTACAGAACAATTAATTACCTTCGTTTCACATTGTTTATGACAATTGAATATTTTATAATTCACAAAAATACAGGTATTATTTCTTTTTATCATAAATAACTCTAGTTCGTACTAAGTAAAGATTATTGAGAGAATTATTACAGGGTATTATATGACTATTTTTTTTATTATTTTTAAATCATAAAGGATGTGTGAAATAGAGTTTATGAATAGTGTCAAAAGTAAAACGTGTTAACTAATCTGAATCAAAAGAAGTAGGTATAAATATTGCCAATATTGTTGTATTTACAAGAATAAAAAGGTTGACATTGGTTTTAATTAGGTGTTGTGGTCAGTGACGGGATCTAGAAATTCAAGTTGGTGGGTCACCATCTATTTTACCGAATAATGTTTTAAGAGAGCAATTTGTTTCCTAAATTTTAAATAATTTAAACATACAATTATAATTGTAAATATTAACATATGAGTTTGAAAACTTCAAATGTACGACAATTATGACTATGTATGATAAAATTTAATGTCATAATTCAAGTTTTAATTATAACCAATAATTCAAGGGAGCCATTACATTGTGAATATTTTGTTTGTTTAGAAATGTATTATAAAAGTTGTTATTCTTTTATCAACAAAATCTTGAAAATTAAAATTTAATTAATGTAGAAACTAGAATTATAGGAAAAGGGAAAAGTAAAAAAGTCAAATGATAAGAAAAGAAGGGGAAGATTGAATAAGAAGCCAATCACAAATTCACAATGGTTATGTACCATAAGTACATAATGGCAAAATAGAAACGTGGGGAAGTGAAATTAAAAGAAAAAGGGGTCGAAATTAAAAAAACAAACAGATCGAAAATAAAAACATACGAAAGTGTGAAATACTAAAAAATATTGAAAAAGAATAGGGGAAAATAAAATAGAAAAGCAAGCACAACAACTAGAAACATAGGGAAGTATTGTATGAAAGACTTAAAACAAATGTAAAAGAAAAGAGGAAGAAATAGAAAAGCTAAAATAAATGTAAAAGAAAAGGGAAAGAAATAGAAAGCTATAACATAAAAGTTTAA